TGAACAAAATGGCAGAGCAGCTCGAGATCTCCAGAAAGTCCGTTCAAATGATAGTGAAAAATGAGCTTGGGCTTCGAAGTTATCGCCTATTGAATGGACATGTTCTCACCGAAAAGACAAAGCAAAGTCGAAAAGAAAAATGCAAGAAACTGCGGGAGTTTTTCAAGGTGCGCCGAATTGAGGACGTTCTTTGGTCTGACGAAAAAGTCTTCACTGTGGAAGTGGCTAAAAACCCTCAGAATCACCGCCAACTTCTCAGTCCAGCTCTTAAGAACACCCGGAAGAGAAAAATTGCCACAAGAAGTTTGTTTCCCAAAAGTTTAATGGTTTGGGGTGGTATCAGTGCATCAGACAAGACTTCGTTGATTTTCATAGACAAAAATGTGAAAATTGATGCGAAGTTCTACCAAAAAGAAATCCTTGAAGAAGCTGTGCTACCCTGGAAGCAAAATCATCCCAACTTCATCTTCCAGCAGGACTGGGCTCCGGCCCATGCAGCGAGATCCACCATTCAGTTCCTCGAGACCGAAATTGGCTCCTTTCTGACGAAAGATCTGTGGCCTTCTAACAGCCCAGATTTGAATCCTTTGGACTTTGCTGTTTGGGGTTATATGGAAGAGGAACTAAGGAAGAGAAACGTGAAAAGTTTGGTGGCTTTGCGAAAGGAAGTGTGCAAAATCTGGAACAGTTTGGACATCAACTACCTTCGGCGCACCGTCGACTCGATGAAAAGACGAATCGAAGCCTGTATCAAAGCAGAAGGCGGGCACTTTGAAAACTTGTTGTGATTATGTAATGTCATTGTTTGTTGTTCTAAGAAAATATTTTTCTTCCCATGTTGGTATACGAATAATAAAGTTCGAGCGTTTTTTATGGCGCACGTAATTTTTCGCCACCCTGTAATGCGGTTTCAGTCAATTCAAAAACTATATTGGTGTGAAACTTTACACTTTAATCGCGACAAAATTCTGCAAGTATTTACACAGCCACGAAAGCGTACAAATGCTTCTCCTCAGAAATTTCGTGATTCGAGTCGAAGAACAAGAAAAAAAAAAAATAAAAACACATGCCTGATGCCCGCTCGACTGTTTGGCTAATCGACTTTTGATCCTCCAGGCAAAGTGAGCGGGAACGTTAAACGGGTGGTAACCATATTGGGCCGTGTGTCGAATATGGAGGATGGGATAAGACCGCAGACCCACGTTCCGCCATTGTGCCCAGGGTTAAACTTTCGACATGTGGTCGCGCGTTGTCGTGAAGAAGAGACTTCGTCCAGCTTAGGGCGAAGGCTTCAGCTGCGAGACTTCGCAATTGTGGGCAGTACACCAAACCGTCGACGGTGGTATTGTCTGGCATCTCGTAATGATGCATTCCCCGAACACTCCTCAGTAGACAGAAGGAACCTCATTTGAATGAACCTCCTGCTTTGGAACAGGCTCTGGCTTCTGACTCGCATCCACCTGGCGTCTCCTGTATGATATACGTAGAGCCCCCACACTTCATCTTCAGTAATGACATTATCCAGCTAATCGAAGCGGCGGCTCCTTGCAAGAAAATTTCTGCACACCTCGAAACGCCTTTTCTTGGCTATTCTGATCCATCGACCAATTCTATTGTTTCCCAGCTTGTGGAGAGCGACGACCTAGAGCCTGGTATAGCATGCAATCTCCTTTGCCAACTTCTTGGTGCTTGCATGCGAAATGTCCTGAACTAGTAACTCAAAACATTCCAAACTAACTTCCGTTGGCGTCCAGGACGAGGTTCATCTTCGAGGTTTGTCCCGCAACCTTTTGAATTAAAGTTGGCAGCTCTTCTCACTTACCGCTCTTTCTCCTTTCGCAGAGCATATATTGCGGCAGGCTTCGCTCGGTGGGTGTCCCAGAAAAAATTCGCAAAGAAGGCAGTGGCGTACATGGTCGAACTTATCCTTTCCAGCTTCAAAAGGAATGTGTCAGGAGGGCAGAGTCAACCCTGCGTTGCGCAGTTCTCAACGGCCACGTTGCGCAGTTTCGCCCGATTAGACACGTTCTCTCGCGCGAACATTCACACTCGCATGCTCGAGCCGTCTGTGTCTCCGCCCATACAGCGTGCGTTGAGGATCTCTCAACGTGCCGTTGCGAACTGCGCAACGCAGGGTTGACTCTGGTAGGAGGTAAGACTTCAGAATATGAAGGAATATCACTACCCTAATATATGGTTCTAAAATTTCCCCTGCAAGTTGATGTGCAGCCATTTGCCAGGTTTTTGAAAAATTCCGCAAGAACTTTCGTTGCGACCTAATTCTTGTGTCTACAGTCACAATAACTCTGCCTTTTTAGGAATCTCCATGAAGAATTTAATTTTAAAATTCTGTTTCTGATTATCTTCAAGAACAACATCTCTGCTTCAAGCACGACATCACGTTATGCAAAATATGAAGCGAGTATTGATATTAGCACTTAAACCTAATGGTTGCAAGACTGTTCATGGGACAATAGCTTTCACGTCAGAGGAATCGTTCACGGAATCCACTGCTTTACTGCTCTCATAAATCGGGTAGCTTGAGACCAGTGCTTCGCGATAAGAATGAAAAAATCGGGTTTTTTGATAAACAAAGTAAAAACTAAGAAACTGTTACTTGCTGAAATCCTCGCCGTGGAACTGTCACAAATATCGGCTGCGGGAACTCTTTCATTTGTTTCTGGAGGTAACGTAACTGGAGAACCTTCCTTTCCAGTGGTATGAATATTTTGCGCTCATACTGCATCCTAATCTATCATACTGGAAACCTTGTATCTTTTTTCTCTACTCTCCGAAGCTAGAAGGATAAATTCAATCTGCTAGCATAATGCATCTGATAGTGGCCGCACCTCGTCGTTGTATCCCACTGACTCCGCTCAGGCATCTGTGAAATGATCACGGTATAGTTTTCGAAGACCTGTTCCCTTTTTTACTGGATTTCCAAGTATGGAACTTTGGCAACTGCAACTTGTGATCATGCATGAAGAATGACGGTGAAATTAGTGATCGTGAATGATGAATCGATGTGGGGAAGGAAAACAATAATTTCCCGCGCACGATTTCTTTGAAGCGGAAAAGCGACATGAAAAGGAATGTAGGGCAAGGAACATGTAATACTACTGATATTAATTTTTGTTCAATTGACGATTTGGGACGCATTCCATCCGTCGCAACCTTCCTTCGGATCGGCATAACTCCAGAAGAAATTGCATACCCGATTCCAAATTATACCGACTAATAGCTCTCCTAATGACGAAACAAGTGGTGTGTTGAATTCTGAGTCAATTTTTTTAAAATTTCTGTTCAATTTCAGTTCAAAAACGTTATTCCATGTGAAAACGGCGTTTGGCGTTCAGCGAGGGTAGCCTAAGAACTCGGTATCAAAATATCGAGCACTATCTGAGGAATTCATTAGCGCTCTGTTTATTCCACTTGAGAGTAAAATTAACACATTGACGACCGCGCGCGTTTTGGCTTTTTTGGCCGTGTGGGACCGGGCCGATTTTGCGAGTGCGACCGCCGCACCTCGGATCCGTGAATTTTTATTGATAACTTTTTAAAGCACCAGTGGTACAAAAACATCTCAGTAACAGTCAATGCGTAGAAGGTAATAGAGTATATAGTGACGAAGTTCCGATTAAAGAACATGTAATGGTAATGAAAAAGGAAACTTTAGTCATTTTATCTGTAGTGGATGCCAAAAGCTCTTTTGATGTGGTTATACCAAGTGAAACATGTATTTTTCTGTCTCTTTAGATTTGCATTTACTTTCACTACCCTTTTTTATTGACGTGTTCATGAGAATAGCATGAAAACTATTAATGAACCAAGCCGCCGGTTTCGGTGAGCTTGGAAAACTTCTTCTAAACTGGAGCATATTTGAACAAACAATGACCTATGTCGTTCACAATAATGTTATGTTCTAATCCATAGAAAGAGAGACAAACAATTCGGGAAAAAGCTGCGCATGCCCTAGAAAAAGGGATGATAAGGGTGAGACGCGGTAACGCGTCTCAATGTCCAACGAGGTGCGCAAAGTGAGACGCGTTACCGCGTCTCAATGTCGTCAATGTGTTAAACGCACATAACTTTGCGTATAGCTTACATTTTAATCTACTCTGTTCTTACCATTCATAGCGCACATAATTGCTAATAGCCGCACAGCGTAATTTGGAAATCATGACAACCTACGCAGGAAGGCGAAGAACCCACACACTACCCACATGGATTCGTGAGGAAAGCTATCGTTGATATAATTTTTGAATCGGGTAAGGAAGTTCTTAAGGAGCTATGGCGAGCCGACGCTTGCGTTCCAAATCGTCGTTAAAGAAAAATTATTCGACTAGCCAATGGGTAAGAAAGAGTGCAAAGCGCAATGAAAAGTGAAGGAGTTGAACACACTGGAATATAAAGGAAAGGGCAGCTTACCAAAAAGCAAGAACTGCACAGATGAAGTAAAAGGAAAAGAAACGAAAAGGAAAACCACAAGAGAAGTATCCAACTCGCCGAGAAGGAGATTATACAAATTTCAGAAACGAGACCATAGGTTGCAGATTATAACCAAATGCACCCGGAGCGTCTCTTTGGGACAATATAAAAGTGGACTTTTAGGGGGCTGTTCAATGCTTCACTAAATTGCTGCAGCCCAAGATGGAAAAGTTAAATTCCGGTGGATTCCGCTCACAGAAACACAGTTTTTACATCGCATTGAAAAACCAAATTAAAATAAATTGAATTGAAAAATTAACTATCAGCAATAGAGAAGAGCACTAAGCTATTTCACAGTGTCTTCTTAAAACAGTGTGGAAAGTGGAAAGTTAGACCTACTCTCCACGATCAGCTGCTGTGCTACATGCAGTCAATAATATTTAGAAGTACAGGTGTGACGTGAACTGCTAGAGAAGAAAAAAGTAAGGGATGCCAAAACCGCCAACACATTTGTGGTAGACGGTTCCGGTATCCCTCACAACCAGGCAATTGATTTCAAAGAAGGGACTGTTTCAATGAACAAATCGTGGAATACGCCCTGAAAGTGAACAAGAAGCGATGCTGGTAACAGAAAATCGACACACCAGTTGGATTCCGATGGCTGGATAAAGCATTTTGAAACCCTCGATCGGTGGACGTGAACAGCCAGTGATGAATCTGAACAGGTTGAAGAAAACAATTCTTTCAAGCGCTCTCAATGAAATTCAGCAATTTGCTCACTTGAGCAATCCACGCTTATCCTCCGCTGACATCTCGCCGACGACACTCCAGAAAAGATTCATGTAATCGCGGTCAGCTTCGTCTGAAGAGAATACAGTGAGCACGTGTTCTCAATACTCGAGTTAACTAAATATTTAGTAGTGTAATCGAGTCACAGGCTTACCACGAATGTTGTGCACAGCGCAATGCTTCATCATGTCGTCGACATCCAAATCGGCGTCCGCACCACTGACCAATGTCTGGAGCTCTGACGGTGAGAACATTGCCAGCCAGCCAGGATCAATCACCGTCGACAAGCCAGCTCGCATCGCATCTACCAACGGTTCAATCTAAGCAAGTATCATTATATGAAAAGTGTGTGAACCGAGCCTAGTTTCGAGATCGATGGATGAATCCCGCTTGATCACAGATCACCATTTCGATTGTGCAAACTGATTACAGGAGGCGTGTAAGGCGTGGCGAAGGAACAAGATGATATTCAAGCAGCCACTCGATGCGGTGGCGCGAAATATGATGATCCTGGCATAAACACAATAAATAACCTACTACAGTACTCTGCGTGGCTTCCCCGAGACCTTGGTTTCGGAAAGGCCTGGCTACTCGTTTCTCATATTTGATTATACTCTGCCAATAAATACTCTGAAGCTGTTGTCTAGACGGGGTTGAAGCCCCTAACTGTCACTACTACAGAAACACCTGTGATCACAACAACATGCTTGCTATCCACCATGAAACAGTAATAAGCATGCTAAAAGGATCGTTCTGTGTGTCGTTCTGTATGTCTGTCACGAAATTCCCTAGCTCCTCGGGATCCACCTGGAGGGACCGGGTCAAGTGTGGGATGGGTGGGCAAGGTCTCACGAAGTACAAAACACACATCAGCTAAGCGGAGCCCCGCCCACAGTGGGCGTGGCGTGCGTCGAAATGAACTGTACCGACGACCAAGATTTCAATTTCTACACCACTTCCGCCATAAGCCCATGAGCATGGTACATCCCAGAAAAGGCTCATGGAAATACTGGATTGGCTCCCTTTTCGGATTCAAGAAGGACGTTCATAATGTTATCGGTACATTATGCTGGCTAGTCTCTTGACTGAACATCTACGAGAGTTGAGTTCGCGATCGCAAACTACATCAAGAGTCGGGTAAAGACAAGGCGTTAGATCAATTTGGAACGGCGATCGCACTCGAATGAATGAGGGATGCTAGAAGGACTAAAAGTGGAGTAAAAAGGAAGAAATGTTGTCAGAAACACAACCTCTTCGCTCCACGGTACGGAGAAGTCCAAGAGGCAAACGCGATGTGAGAGATTATATTAGTTGCAGAAAGGGTGAGAGAACTTCGAGTCCAGCGATCACAGCTGATGAACCGATATGACACAAGGAGGATATCGCATGGGGTGCAAATGCCGCTCGACCATCGGATTGTAATCTAGGCGCTTACAAGGCGTTTCGAGGTACTAAGTTGTCGTGACCTCTACAGTTGCGGACCTAGCACCTCTACTCCCAGGGAAAAGCCTCTTCATTGAGACTGCGCCCGACTTTTGCCTATAAGATAATCCTAAGTAGGGCGAGTCACGATTGAACTCTTTGAAATAAAAGGTCCCCCCTTGCTAGAAATGAGGGACCAAAGTTGAGTGAACCGCAAGCTTTTTTTTGCTTCTCATGCCTGACTAATCATCTGATTTACTCCCAGAAACGCCAAACCGTGGATCTATATCTTTATCACTATGACATAAGGTGACCTGATATACTAGGCCGGCCCGCCCCACCACAGGCATTAGCAATCCTTTATCACGCACAACCCACAATGTCCTGACCTGTACAGTCCATTCTTATTCTCGGCGATTAATCGCACAAAACCAAGTTGCTTACTCGCCGCTATGAATTAAATACATAATGACTCGAATGCTGTTATCGAAACGAACCAACCCACACTCACCACTCCCGCCACACTTTCTGGATGTCTACGCCGGAGGAAGCTCCCTGAGCAAAAAGGATGGAGGTTCGCAAGATGCCCGTATAACATGAACTGATAATATCCCACCCCCAGCCTCTCTAAACGCCTGGGATGCTGATTTCAAATCTGCCTTCCAAATCTGCTAAACGGCTCTCCGAGCGGAGTTATGAAGCGTAATAGCTCAGTGGTGATGGTCCGGGGTGGCAGGTAAAAGCTCGTAGGATCGGTTCCTTTGCAAGTTTGTTGCTTTGCTTTTGTCCGCAACACTTCTAGAGACAAAAGCAAAGCAACCAACTTGCAAAGGAACTGATCTACGAGCTTTTACCTGCCCTACAACCATTCACCACCTGAGCTATTACGCTTCATAACTCCGTTCGGAGAGTCGTTTAGCAGTTTTGGAAGACAGATTTGGAATCAGCGTCAAGAGTCGCATCAGGAGGTATACATTTCATTTCAAACGGCCACTTCGACCTACCATCCTTCCCTTGTTAGAAAACAATCACTCACCCGTTTGAAGAGGAAAAAATTCACGTATGCTCGTATGTACTCCAGACGGTTGTCGACTGTCACACGAATACTTCGGCCACCCGGTACTAAATCTACGCTCTGAAAGACCACAGCAGCATTTGGTATGAATCACTGCTATAAAAAATTCACAGGGACGACTTAAGCTGAAATATCAGATCTTACCTGCACATCACCAACGTCGTCGACGATTACACTGAAATCGAGTTCCAAGGCTGCAAGCTCATCAGCTGTCAGATTGCGAAGATTTTTTAAATGCCTAAATACCGCAGGTTCTCAGCGTGGTTAATATCGTTCACTTGCAAACATGGTCGGCCGGAGCGTCCTATGATCGTCTGCCACAAATTCATCATTACGCTATACAACATCCCCTTTTGAGAGGCGGATAAATTTTCAGAATGGGTCAGGTAAACTAAGCACGCATGGAATGAGCAGTTAATATGTCCTGGTGACACACTAAAGTAAGCAGGACCAAATCAGAAATGATATGATTCGATTGCAAAAACAATGCCCGACAACATGAAATGAATGCAAGCAGTGCCTTATGTTCCATGACGAGCTGCAAGTGGAGGAAGAGAGGGTGGTTGTTTTCGAAACTGCAGTAACTTGAGGCCTCGCCTCGCCAGTGATCGGACATGCATGTAGCACAACCCTCAGGGATCAGTGAAGCGGTAAAGTGAAAAATCTCACAATGAAGAGAAAACAGATGCTATGCACGCAATTTGCACCGAATGACATGCCCCGGCGATCTAACATGACCTTCCCTTTGGCGCAGTTGGCGGGAACGCCCACCGACTATCTAATCACTCGCCGCAGGTCTATACGTGGCGAGTGATTAGATAGCAGAGAGAGCGTAGTGTTGAAGAGGGCACAGCGATGAGAGTCGCATCAATGCGCAAATCAACGGGCAAGGAAGGGGTCCCATTTCTCGGGTTTGGGCCGTTTCAATGGTTTCTTCTTCATCCTGCTCCACTGACCACCTCTACCCTTATTTCCAATGAGCTAACTTTTCATCGTAAATTCTGCCTTTAAGGGAGAGGAATAGAAGGGCAATAGACATGCTTTCGGAAAGATTCACAGAAGCTTGGAAGAGCTTATTAAACTCACACGCTGTTTGTCACGTAAACACTGCTCTCACCAGCGAATCTATACCGATCACCTCAGTACCTTATCTAGAAGATCATGAGTTTCAAGGAACTCACTTGTATATGCTGGAGCATCATTTCAGATGGTGAGATCTGCGATAGCATGGCGCTTGCCCAGAAGTTGCGACACAAAGAATTCTGCGAAACGGATCTCAGCCATTTGTTTCTCGTAAATCAGCTGCAGAAGATAGAATATCACAACTGATGGAGATCTATTAATTGCGGCTATAATTGTCAGCGGTTTCCTCACATACTTCATTATGTAAAGAGTAGCAGACCATATAATCACGCTGTTCGCGAAATGGGTAACGTGCTAACACGATGACGACAGCATGAGCGTCAGAATTTTACTCGATTCTGGCTAGTTTTTTATGGTTTATTTGGCCTTTTTCATATTTCAAAACTGTGTGCATGCGTCATCTTATCCGAAAAACTGTGAGTCAATTACCAGTAGTGAAATTATTGAAGAAGTTATGACGATTGTGAAAAAAATAAACAAAAAGTTGCCAAGGTACGCGCATAAGGGGCTGTTCTGTCACTAGCTTTAAAGTAATTGTCATAGCCCACGCCCTCAGAGAACCGGGAAATCAGCATAAATATTTCCCTGAAAGGGAGAACCATCAAAAACATGAATACATATCGATTCGATTGGTCCCTTGCTCTATGCACTAAAGTAGAATCGCAAAATAGAGTTAGCAAGTAGACATTCACCCGCTACTACCGACTGATACACTTCTATTCCTTTTTACGAATTTTCCTATGCTCCGCTTACGCCATTTCGGCGTATTCCACCTGCTTCTTATCTATTCGTGAATATACTAATCAGTATATTGGTTGACTCTGTCTGTGTAAGCAAGTCTAAACAATGCGTAGCATCCGCTATTGTAGGTATAAAGAATTTTTAACCAAAACAATTAATGCATCGCGGTCAATTATGTTCAACAAGTCAAACAGTGCAAAAAGAAAGTGTAAAGGCACTTAAAGCAAACACGGGTTTCCGAGAAGAAGAAATATGTGGATAAGAAATCAGTGATTAGTTAGTTCCGGCAGGATGGGTTCTGGATAAGAGCCTGGCGAATAAACTTGTTATAAGCAAGTAGGAATTTATAGAAAATCATTAAAAACGCGGAAAAGTCTAATGAAACCTGTCATGGGTGTATTTGAAGAAGCCTCTGTCAGGATCAAATCCAGTTCGAATCAGTTCGGTTAAAAATTCTCTGAAAAAACTTCTTTTACTCGATAAGGAATTCACCTACACTTCAATTCAATAATCTTAATCTCAAGCTGTTTAGGGGTGAACAGCTACCCAGACTTATCGCATAGCTAGTCATTCAAGACAGGAAGGTCTGCTGTACGTCCTATTCACAATCACAAGCGCAGCTCGTCCAAAATTCAAAAGCCGCACAAAAATTAATGTCCAATTTCTTGTTTCCGAGGTTTCGAATCAGGAAGTGCAGACTGTAATGCCCCAAACGCCGTGAATTCTAGTCCAGTGGTACTTGACGATGCGACGAAAACGCCATGTATGGGATAGCGAGAAAAACCTTCGATATGATCTCATAGGTTTCATTTCGGAGCCTCATAGAACAGCTACAATGCAGCTTCAAAGAAAAAAGAGCACGTGTGTTCCATGTTCCGTTAAGCGCCTTCTACAAACTGCAGCCGTTTACCACCTCGT